AAGAAATCTTGGGCTAAAAAACAAATTAAAAATATAATAATATTTTATATTCATATTAGTATTAGAATAAATTGCGATACTGATATATACCCGTTTTAAATCTTTAATAACTTCATCATCCTATGAATAATTTCAAATTCTAAATTAATAATATTTTGGGTTAAAAATTTTCAAAATTCAAATCCAATATTACCTTGATCGATGCTTCTGAATCTTGAGAGTTACAAGGTAATGCACCAACACTGCTAATTAGCAATGACAATGCATCCTCTTTTTGTTTATTAGAGGAACGGGCATAAATTCGATAGGATGACTCACTTTTATGCCCAGTAATAGACATAGTAGTACCTATTGCAACACCTTTCTGAAAAAGGGAAGTAATTGGAGTCGATCGGCCTGAGTGATTTACAATATCACGGTCTTTTATGTCAATTCCCACTGCCGTACAAACATTTTTCATAAAAGATCTGCAAGATCTTGCCCCTAATCTTTCGTCAAGGTACCACGAATCATTCGAATAATCTAAATAGAGTTATTTGTTTTAATTTTTAATATAATTTCGATCACATTATTAATATAATATGCATACTATTAATTTTCTTGTTAATTTTTAGATGTAAAAATGGACATTTAGAATTCAACAATCTCTTTGAAAAGTAAAGCTTAATATCATAAACGGGACCTTGAGAACCTTCAGGATCAGGTGGAACAGGTATGATAAGTGCATCCGAATTACCATCCACACCGCCTTGATCATTTTTTTGGGAATATTTTTTGAATTGAATTCCACCATTAGAAGTAAATACAAACTGCTCTGTTAACATATCATAATGTTCACCACCACGAGGTTGGAACAGCAAACAGCACCACATAAAAACCCGATACTGTAAGCCTTGTGGGGTATTATTAGCGACCGCATAGTGTTGAAAAATAGTTTGTAATTCAGTATCTGTAAGATGATCGTGGTGACGTGATACTAAGCCTTCCTTTTTAAGTTTCTTCATTTTTCCATTTAGTGCTTCCCATAAATGAGTAAATTCCTTCCTATTAGATATGTTAAAAGACTTGATACCCCTCGGATGCTTTAGAATATAAACACTGAGTAGTTTAAT